CCCTCCGCGACGGACCTCTTGTGACGACGGGGCAAGCGCGTTTCAATGGCATTCATCGTATCGTGCAATTGATATTGGTTGGGCAGAATGCACGTGATGCGCAGCAGATGATCTTGGACTTGATATTTTCACAAGAGTGGCTTGCGTTCGAGGTTACTTTCTCGCACGGCGCACTTAGAACATTGATCTTCTCTGACGAATAAGTGGCCGACGCAGGGCAGAGTGAACTGTCCGAAGAAGGAAAGGCCTTCATCGCGCGGAGAATGTGGACAGTCGAAGGGAGGTGCGTTTGTAATCGATACCATGCCGTGAGGGCTGGTTTCGGATGTTGTTTGAAATGCCCCGCCCCTGTCACGTAGTAACAAAAAGTCAGAGTGAATTATTTACAATCGCCTGGCAGAGATGCATTGGTTGCTGCATGGGCGAGCCTAGGACTGGCTCCACGTCGTGATGCCTCCCCAAGAGGGGAGAGCCGCGCCGAGATCATATCTAACAGGCTGGACGCAATGAACAAGAGCTCTTCTGATGGACTGGAAAACTTGAACAAGGCTGAACAACGCCAGCGCAAGTGGGTTAGCCAGGCGCATATACGTTCCCGGGCTTCTTTGGCAGGTTGCGCGTTCAAAAACTCGTAGCCAGGGGCCGCCCCTTCCTGGAGGCCCGACAGCGCCTCGGCACCGCCGCCGGCGCGTCATGAGCCATGCTTCCAGTATCTGGGACCACTTAAGCTCCGCTGTATTGACTGGCTGACATTCAAGCATGGGGGCAATGCCCCAGCCGCTGCGCCAGATCTGGATCAATACGCTTGCCCAATGAGATGCTCTGCGCCGCTTGCTGTTTTTGATTGGGAACATGTTAGTGCCGAGCAAATTCGCCCAGAGACAGGCTGGGGCCACTGGGAACAAGAGATGGCGGAAACGTAGTAATAATTCCATCAAGTGTTGACGGGCAACTAAAATGCAGCCAGCCGAGCTTCTGCGTCGAACCAAGTAGGAGATATAGATTTCTGAATTGTTGCTGAACTTCATCATCGGCCCAGCCGTATTGAGGAAGTAATATCAGCACGTGGAGAGAAGGCTGCGACGTCGGATGGCATATGTACTCAACATATAGCCCAGCGTCATCAGCTGATTGTTCCGACGAGAGCGCTGCCCTCTCGGCTTGCTTTGATTTTTATTTCTGGCTGCATGTTTAGCTAGAAGTAGAATCATGACCTGTACGATAGGCCAGAAGTTATCAAAGTTGCAGCGCATTTCATTCTTGGATAATAATCTTCAGTTCCAACTACGATGCCATTGGACAAAGACATCAGTCATGATGTACCCCTGGGATGATCCGAGTTCGAGGATATAACATGGACCCAACCACTCTATCGAGCCCCCCGCTCACGGAAGATGGGGGGCGGATTATATTAGCTGTACGAGCAGTAATATTATTGTTCGTATCTGCGGGAATCGATGTTGCATTTCCCGGGTACGAGGTGCAGCGTGGTGCGAACAATGCGAATGCAGCTCTTGAGGTTGTGAGGGGAGCTTATGCTTTGGATTGTCGGATTAGGTCCGCGGTCGAATCATTTGACCTAATTCATGAATGGACCAAAGGATCAGGAAATGAAGTATCAGAGACCGCGAGACGAGCTTGCTCAGGCATCCAAGAAGCTATGATTTTCGTGCATGCGTCTTCGGAATTTCATTTTAGTGCCAAGATCTGTCTTCCCAACAGCCTGTTTGGAGTCTTCAATGGTGACGATGCCATTGTAATTGCCAATTGCGTTGAGAAGGAAAAGGAAGGAGCGGCCCGGCCGACTCTCCCACAGAGACAATCCCAGCTGAGTCTCCAGCAGATGCTGTAACCACAATCGTTGAAGAAAATACCCCGCGCGGCACCGCCGCTGGGGGGCAGCGAACTCAGCGGCGCCCTCGCCCAGCATCGAGACCGAGGTACCGGGGAGGAAGGCAGTCTTATAGGGCCGCCCCCCATGCTCCGGCGCCCGCCGGCCCAGTCGCGTCGGGCGCCAATGCTGGCTGCATTGGCTATGACAGAATCCAGTCGTGGGCGGATGAACCTTGGACGGATGAGCCTGTTCCTGAAAGGCTGGCTGCTGAGCCGGGTGGCGGCCGCGCGAGCGATGGCGGCGGCCCAGGGCCGGCCGTGGGCGGCATTTATGACGCGACCGTCGACTACGAGGACAAGAATGAGAATGGATAAATTCAAGGATACTACGTGCATGTATCTCGGCATCAGCGAGTCACTGGCCATAGCAGAACGTGACAGTGGTTTAGTTTGAACGAATGCAACGACAAGTTCAAACGTGACTCTGGGATGCCAGGTGCCTTGCCAGAGCCTCCGCCGCCGCCCGCGTGGGAGGCGAGGCCGCGCGAGAAGGGCCAGGGCAAGAGGTGGCCAAGCGGCTTGAGTTTAAGCAGAAGAGAAAACAGACAGGACAACTACTTCAGGGATCAGAACCAGTGAAAATGGGGTAACAGAGACACGTGGGGTGATTCTCGTGGCTGGAGAAGTCGCTGGCAAAGGTGGCACGGCGCAATGGAACCAGTACAACATAGTCGATGCTGGTCCAAGCTGCATCATGGAGCGGGTGCACCAGGTGTGCCCGGGCATTGTGGCCTGAACTGGGAAATATTAGCTCCTTCGGGGAGCGTCGTTTTTTTCGGCCTTTTGCCCCCTGGCAGCCACCGTTGAGCGGTCAGATGCTTTTGGGGTTCGCTCCGGTGGCTGTGCGTATGTTCAGGTCAGGTGGGTTGGGGGGTCGGGGCGGCTCTGCGGACCCCGCCGCGGGGGGAGTCAGTGCACTCCTTCCGCGCCACCATCCCTTCGCCCCGTCTGCTCCTTTGCCTTGCGCGCACTGCCCGACGTGCTGACTTGTTCTGCTTCCGCAGCTATACCACTTTGGCTCTAGGGAAACGGAAAAGGAGCGAGCCTGCGACGCGCGCGCGCGTGCGTCGGCTGGCGGGCCGGCCTCGTCCCTTCAGTGTTACCTTAGTGTATGCTTGACGGCATTATCTATTTTCTCCGTGTCATCGGTGGAGCCCACTGTCCATGATATATTATCGGAACATCTTGCAGGAATTCTGAATTTCCAGGCACAGGACTGATGATGCTGCTCATGATAACGATATTGTTGATGCTGTTGTTGTTGATGGTGCTGATGCTGAGGATGATGATGACGACCACATTGACGATTATCCTATTGGTGGTGATGGTCATGGTGCTGGTAGTGATGATGATGACGACGATGGCGATGACGATATTGATGATCATACTGATGATGGTGATGACGAGGATGATGTTGATGATGAGGATAACGATGGTGATGATGATGATGACGATGATGATTCGGATGGCTAGTAGGTTGATGATGGTACGGATGAGGATAACGATGATGCTGATGATGCTGCTGCTGATGATGAGTATGATTATGATTCGGATGGTGCTGATGATTATGAGGATGTTGATAATGATGATAATGATGACCATGATCATGAATCTGGATATTATGATTATGATGGTGATGTTGATAATGACGGTGACGATGATGTCGACGATGATGCTGCTGGTGGTGGTGATGCGGATGATTATGATGATGATGATGATGATGATGATGAGGATGATACTGGTGATGCGGATGGTGGGGAGTTTGACGATGATGAGAATGATGTTGATACTGGTGAGAATGATGATGATGATCGTGACGATGATGATTTTGATGATGATGATGCTGATGATGATGGTGGTGATGATGGTGGTTGTGGTGGTGGTGGTGGTGATGGTGATGATGATGATGATGAGGAGGAGCAAACAAAACAGGAGCAGGAGGGTTGGGCTGTATTGAGATCTCCCTGCAAGCGCTCGATTACTGAGAGTCAGCCTGGATGCTGCTGAGCAACAGTCCGAAACGAGCACAAGGCCCAAGTTCCCGCCAGGACAACGTCGGGAAACGATTGACGCAACTCCACTCATTTTCGTGCCCATCCAAAACTTTTCGGTATGAAAGGATTGCTGAATCTCCGACGTGGGACATGACATGTCCGAGTGACAAATGCCACCCCACTCTGGCTGGCGCACGGTGCGAGTGACGGGCGGCAAATGCCGGCGCCGCGCCATTCTGGCCCGCCTTTCACACGTCCGTGGCCCTATAATTTGGGAGCTCCACCTACGGCCCCAGTGGCATGTTCCGCATGGCGGCGCCGCCCATTTCGGCACACCCCTCACAGGCTTCGTCGCCCCATAGGCAGCTCCACCTGAAGCCACCATGGGAGGGTCCATGTGGCGGCGCAGCCCATTTCAGCGCACATCTCACGAGTAGTGTTCCTTCGGGAACTCCACATGTGGCCTCAGTGGAAGGCCCCTCGCGCGAGCTCCGCTCACGACCCCAGTGGGAAACGTTGCATGGCTTCCAGTAGCTTCACATACGACTCCTTACACGTTCGCGCCCCCATAGGGACTTCCACATACGGCCGCAGTTGGAAACGTTGCATGATTTTTCCCATCAATTTCAACACATCCTTCACAAGAGCCGTCTATACGGATTTTCATCATCATCGTCGCACGAAGCTGCTAAGGGTTGGGCCCCTCGCCAGACTAAGTTTCAAGGGCGCACGGGGGAAGTGTGAAGGGGAAGAGAGGGGGATGGGGGAACCCGTAACGGCGGGGCTTGAGGCCAAGAGAGCCCCCCAGGGGCAGAGAGCAGAGGAATCACGCCTGGGCGGCCAGGCATGTCCTAGGCAAGACCTCCCCTGAGACATAAATCCCGGCTTGCCAACTCTGTCATGAATGAGGCTCTGCTTTCTCGTATCTGATTAGATAGTGGTCTGCGGCTTCAGACACGCGACAATCATCGTCGGATGAGACAGTGAGCCAGGGATAGGGAACGGCGTTGCCCGTTGCTTTGCGTATGCTAGGTATATATCGTGTGATTTCTTGGTCTTGCTCTCCACCCCATCCGTTCCTCATCCATCCTTCTGATAATGCGATTTGGGTGCAGCTGTTTTTTGTTCAAGCTGCGCGCTGTTGCTGTCTGCCGAGCCAGCCGTTGCGCCTCGTGAGGCATCAGGGCAGAGAGTCTCCACGCAGTGCAAGTGCAAGGGGAGAGCATGCACACACATGTGCACACACACATTTCATACACACATACACAGTTATATGTATATTTCTGCATCTATATATTTGTGTGGACTTACATATGTGTGTATTTATACAGGTATATGGGTGCATGTATGTATGTATGTATGTATGTATGTATGTATGTATGTATGTATGTATGTATGTATGTATGTATGTATGTGTGTGTATGTATGTATGTATGTATGTATGTATGCATATATGTATGTATGTATGTATGTGTGTGTGTGTATGTATGTATGTATGTATGTATGTATGTATGCATGTATGTATGTATGTTTGTATGCATGTATGTATGTATATAAATGTATATTGACACCTGTGCGGTCCAACCCCTGCGGTGTGATCTATGTTGTGAAAGCTATGCCGTGTGAGCTGGAGGTGAAGGCTATGGGGTGCAAGCTCTGCAATGCAAGCTATGTTATGCATGCGGTCTAAGTGAAGTGGGGCGCCCACGAGGCGCCCACGAGGCGGCACGGGCGGCAACGTGGCGCAACTTTGGCATGCCACCCAAGCGCGGGGCGCGCACGAGGCGCCCACGAGGCAGCACGGGCCCACAATGTGGCGATTGCCCAGAATACCCAACCAACCATTCAGCGGAACAAAGAAAGAACCCCTAATTGAAAACACTGCTTGGGGAATCTATATACACATAAGGGAAGGCAAATTGATTGAAACTAGGATGAAAAGGACAGGGGATTACGACAGCGAAGACATCAGCGCGTGGACGGTGAGGTTCATTCAACGCGAAGGTCTTTCACTTGCAGTCTTTTGGAGGATGTCCACGCTAAACGAGTGCAAACTCAGCGAGGCGCTGTGAACAGAGCTCGATGAATTGCGCACTGCTCAGGGGCGTGGGTTCAAATCTTGGCTGTGTTGTTTTTGGGGAAAACTATGGAACGCTTCCAGCAGGTGCAGGGTTGTCGTGTCAAGTATGTTTGACTGCCCGCCCGCTGCCAGCGCGCGCGGAACTCCTAAGGACAACAGCACAGTATTACGGAGGGGATATTTATCGATATTCCAAGTTACCTTATTGCACATGCGCCCCCGATCCGCCATATGAAATACCGCATCGGGTGTGCTGTGCTATGTCAGCGAGTTGCAAAGCGAGTTGCGCAGGTGTGCGTTGGCTCTTGTGGTGGCTTTTCGGCTTGGCCAAACTCGCGGCTGTGGACATTTGGTAATGTTTTTGGGAGGGGGGACCCTTTGTGTCCAGTTTACGCATACCTGGCTTGGGGGCTGGGGAGCTCCTCTTGTCATCAGGCGCCTGGGGTGTGTCGGCAAACGCTGACAGCTTCCTCGCCTTGCCCAGGGAATGCCCAGCGTCCCCCCCTTTCTGCCACAGTCGGTCATGTCAGCGCTGTCGCATGAGGGTTCCGGGCCTGTCGTCTCTCTCCGTAGTCGGTAGTCTTGCAGCATTTTGGCCTCGATCCTGCATCCGTCAGACAGGACCGTGCCAATCAACGGGCATATGTTTCAATCACGACCCGCTCCCCACTCAGTCGCGACAAGTCCCCATGGACGAAGTCATACACTTACAGGGTGCAACGTTGAACGGGTGGTTCGGCTTCCTCTGCGCTCAATGGGGCACAGCCATGCGGCCTGTGAAGGATCTGATGCTCTGCGTGTTACCGACGGCGGTTGGTCATTTGATCGGGATTCTTACCTGCTCTGGAGATTCCCAACGGTTTGGCATGGGTGCTCCGCTCGAATCGCACAGGCCTGGCCTCGAGGGGACCCGAGGCACCTGCGAGGCGTGTCCCGGGGGAAAGCCTGACCGCTGGCTTCCTTCCGCGCCGATTCCGTCGAGCCCTGGGCGGGATTGTTTGGGGTCAGGTGGACGCCAGAGACCGACGCCGCCCCTCGACCAGGGGCCACATCCTCTCGGCGCGGCTGGCGCACGTCTTCCCGCCTCGGCTCGCCCCGCGCAAGGAGCTCCGAAGAGCTGTCTGTTGCCGATCGGGGCTCGGGGACTGGCACCCGCGGGGTGGGCAGGTCGAGGTCCGAAGCGCGCGGCCCGCGGCCCCCGTGGGAGGCCACAGATGACGGGCGCGGCGGGGGACGGCGCCGCAGGTCGCCAGGGGAGGGGGGGCTGGGCGAGGCTAGCATGGGCGCCGGCGACGTCGACGACGGTGGCGGCGGCCGCTGGCGCCGTCGTGCCCGACGTCATTGCCGCCGCCGTCGCCACTGTCATCGTCGCCGCGGCCGCCGCCGTCATCGCGTGGGTGGAAGGGAAATAGGATAATGAGCATAATAACGCGCAGAATAACAATCATAAGCACAATCACATTCATAATACTTTTAGCAGTGATAAAGAGAATCGTAGTATTACTAGTAGTAGCAATGGTAATAACAGTGATACAAATAAGAGTACTAGTTATAGACTTTCAGGAATCACACTAGTAAGACTATCAATGCGAATAATAATGCGAACATGTCTACGAATAAGAAAGCAACTAATCATAGTAATAGTAATATGATGAATGTAAATATGAGTAATAAGGCTGGTCGTATTAATAATCATGAGAATGATAGTACTAATATTACGGATCATACTAAACATACTGTTGTCAATGATACCAATGATGATATGCATATTACGCTTATAGTACAATTCACGCTTAGAATAATGAGCTTAGCATTGCTACTAATAGAGGTAATCCTACGAATATGAACAATCATACTCATACTATAAATCATACTTATCATAATAATGAGGATACTACGAATAATCGTAATAACAATCATCATATAAGAAGGAAGGATATTAATTCTAATAAGCATAGTACCACTCATAAGAACAACTAGTCCTAATCAGAAAAGGCACAACACAACACATAATGACAATCGTATCAATACTAACAATATTAATAATAGTAACACTAGGAATAATAAGCATACTCGTACTACTGATAATAATGATAACAAAGGATAATGATGATTTTAAGAAGAAGAAGCGCGCTGCTCACATCTGTGGTGCCTATGCAAGACCCTGCTGACGCACGCGCACTGTTATGGCTGCAGGGTGAAACGGTTGTGCCACGCCGGCTTGCCTTTGGCAGCGTCCTGCGCAAGGCGGGGGCAGGCCAGGGTGGTCGGGGGAGAGAAGACTCCCCGCCTTTCCGGCGACGGGGGCTCCCATCAGCAGAGGAGCCGCAAAAATCACAATCGATGGCGTCTAGAAATATTTTGGGTCACCAGCTTGTCCTTCGTCGACTCTGGGAGCTTCGGAGCCCATCACAGCTAGACGGAAGCTTCAGAGCTGAGCAAATGCCATGATTGGTCCTTCTTGCTTCGGGTTACTGCCCGCGGCCCGAGAAGTGGACTCCAACAAATCGTTGTGGGTCGGATTCCCTAGTAGAGGGCCGCAAAACGGCAGATGCAGAAATGTTGTGAGGTCGGCGCGGCGCGGATTTCTTTTAACTGCGCTGGACCCCACTCCGCGAGCGCGCAAGAGGCGGCGCTGGAGGCGCCGCCAAGAGGTTCTGCTTCGACCCAGGAAATGCGCGCGGACCTCCGACAGTTTGTGCTTGATGAGGCAGCATTTCGTTCCCAAATTCACAAGGTGGGATTATTCGTATTCCCAGTGCCGTAATATGGGATTAATGATATTAGTGTGACGCCTCCGCCTCGCTTCCACACTCGGACTCACTCATACTCAGACTCACTAGCACTCAGACCCACTCGCACTCAGGTTGCCCAAATTCAGGCCACAACAACACTCACATCCACTGGAACTCAGACTCATTCATACTCAGACCACTCACGCTCAGACCCACTCATACTTGGGTTAGTCATGCGACTAACACTCACAGAGCACTCAAACTCTGATCGGTAGCACTCAGGCTCACTCATACTCAGGCTCAAAACACCGACACATTGTCATCTATGTATATTCAGACCCACTCATTCTCGCCAGCGTGGGGCTAGGAGCCGCCAAGGGGTAGGACATTTCCCCTTTCGCGCCCAGATTGTGGGGATGTCTCCAGCGAGGCGCTCGTTTGGAATCCCTTGCCCCTCTGCTTTGAGAGCACCGTGATCACCTCGGTATGCCAGTCAAAGCATTTGGGCACCCCAGCTAGGAGCCGCCAAGGAATAGGACCTTTCCTTGTTCGCGCCCACATTGTAGGGATGTCTCCAGCGAGGCGCTTGCTTGGAGCCCCCGAATTCTTTGCCTCGAGAGCACCGTGGTCACCACGGGATATCAACATTAGATATCGTAGCCGTTTCTTCTCGTGCCAGATTTCCTGGATCTGCTTAGGATGATGAGTTAATGAACGACGTCCCCTTGGAACGGATTTCAGCACGGTTCCAGACGACATGTGCGGTGGGGGGTGGCAGGGGAGAGTGCGTAAGTGTACCCGGGAATGTTCCTCTATTTGTCAGGTGTACCCCATCAGGATATCTACCATCCAAGGACAATGCTCGATTTTGACAACGACAACAAGCAGGACACCTGCACACTGACTGCGGCATCTCCGACTCCAGCGTCTCAAGACCTCCGACTCCAGCGTCATGAACGCTTATGGGCCTCAGACTCCAGCTCCCATCCTCCACACGTTCCAGCAGCCGGCGTTCTGACGACTGGGACTCCAACGACCGTTGCGGCACCAGAGGATTTATTAACCGAGCATGGCCGCGAGGGATACCAAGCGGGAACGACGAAGCCACATGTACACTATATCATAAAGATGTTCGTGGGCTTCGGGAGACCGCACAGAGGAGCTCTTGCAGGAGCCCTGCGATGTCCAGTGGGATTTTATCTAAAGGCTGCCGCCTCTGCCGCCGACCCGATTTGAGTGACGAATGTTTGATTCGTTTGTTGTCGGGGTGCTTCTCCGAGCACGTCAGGAAGGGTTCAGGTGAGTCTCCAGGTTCTCTGTTGCATCTCGGACTCCTTTTGTGGGGCAGTTTTGGAGCCTCGTGGGGTCGCTGTAGGTTTCTTTGGGGGTTTCTTGCAGCCTTTTGGGGCCTCCCGGATGCCTCTTGGGGCCTCCTGGGGGCCTCATGGGGCGGAGCGCTACGATTTTTAGTTTGTCTTTGGGGCCGTCATGGGGTTCTTTGGGCGGCCTCTTGGGCAGTGCTGGGGTGGCATTCGGGACCTCGGGAACGCCAGAATCTTTGAAACAAGAAAGGCACATCAATGTGGTGGTGCCTCTTCAGGTTCTGTTGGGAGGCATATTCGAGGCTTCTTGGCACATCGTGGGGGCCTCTTGGGCCATCTGGGCGCCGCGTAGGGCGTCTTGGAGCAGTCGGGGCGTTTGGGGTCGTCTTGGGTGCTTCTTGGGCCCTGTTGGCCTGTTTGGTGGTTCCCATCGCTCCGAAACAGTCACGCGAGAGACTGCGAGATGTCCCCCATGATAAGATTTTGCGATGCGGGGTTTAGGATTCCGAACGACTCCTCCGGAGTACGGACTGAGGTTGAGAGGATGATGGTGCGAACCTGAGGGCACGCCCATTCCGTGCCCAGAAGCACGGTGGCGGATCTACAGGACCATGATACTTTGATGATCATGATTCTGACGGATCGCATCGTATTTCCGAACTCCAAGGGGGAAGCCGTGGGGGGCAGTGACTTGGGTTAGCGGTTGGTAGATTGGGCGAGGTGGCAATATTTCCAGAAGCAGCGATGGCCCCATCCCCGAAGGGGAAGCATGGGGTTAGACAAGGAATCGCGATGGACTATTTCCTGCCCAGAAGGCGGCGGGGGATCATGAGCTAGGAGGCCCCATGCGAGAAATTGTCCGGGTCGGTGGCGGCGTTGCCAGCATCGTTCTGTTTGGTCCTCCGAGGTGCCGTTTGCGATGCGGTCCGGTCGGTCTGGCTTGGGACATCCCTGGAATTGTGGTCTTCGAGATGCCGCGCCGCTGTCCTGAGGTGGTCCAGGCCTTGTGGCTTCAGACATCCTCGCAGTCGTAGGCTTCGAGTCACGCGAGAGATCCCTTCTGGCTTCTCCTCGCACACTCTCGCCACTCAGGGCTCATGGATGCCCTGATCTGAACTGGTCCTCCCAGTTTCGTTTCACATTTCGTCACAACTATGGTCTCGGATATGACCTGGCTTGCGGTCGTCTAGCCATGTTCGCCCCATCCATCCTCTTTATTCTGGGTTCGTCGATGCTCTTGTCTCGCGGTATCCGATCCCGTTCCTCGTTGTTGTGGGTTTGCAGCTGCCGTGGACTGTTCGTTTCGCTTGAGATCTCCTTGCAACTCCAGGTTCACGCACTTCGGTTCTCACCTCACGTGGTCCCAGCTTTTTGTCGCGTGGGCGATCCTCGGGGTTGTGTGTTTCTGGGAAGGCTTGGAGAAACCTCCCACACCAGTGCAGGTAGTATCACGCCATAAACGGATGATGATGATGATGATGATGATGATGATGATGATGATGATGATGATGATGATGATGATGCTGATGCTGATGATGATGATGATGATGATGATGATGAGGAGGAGGAGGAGGAGGAGGAGAAAGAAGAGGAGGAGGAGGAGGAGGAGGAGGAGGAGGAGGAGAGGGAGGAGGAGGAGGAGGAGGAGGAGGAGCAGGAGGGGAAGGAGGAGGAGGAGTGGCAGGATGATGATGATGATGATGATGATGATGATGATGATGATGATGATGCTGATGATGATGATGATGATGGTGATGGTGATGGTGATGGTGATGGTGGCGGTGGTGGTGGTAATAGGAGGAGGAATAATAACAATAGTAGCAGTACTTATAATACTACGAATGATAATAAGAATAAACATGGTACGAAGAAGAAACATAAATCATTCTAATCAGAAGAATAAGAATAATCATACTATTATTAGGAAGAGATTAACAATACTAATAAATGGAAGAGATATACTAAGCATAATAGTAATCATACTACTACGAATACTAATAGTAATAATATGAAGAAGAACAAGAACAATACTAAGACGAGTAATGCTAATAGTAATCATAATAATACTAACAACACTAACACGAAGAATACTAACCTTAAAACGCATACTTTGACTACTAATACGAACAATACTAATAATACCAGTAATAACACTAATACTACTACTACTACTAATATTACTACTACT